GGGGGGGGGGGGGGGGGGGCCTACAAATCCCTCGTCCTTGTTGTTCATATGGCGGATCGTGTTTCAAGAGGATGTCCGTGCTTCTGACTTGCAGCAGCTATTTCGGGATAGATAGAGGATGTTTTTGCAGAAAGACTGTCAGAAGCCAATACACTAAAGGGTCTATATGCAGATCCGAACTCGCATTCTAAACCGCAGCTGCCCTGAGTTGACCATATTTTAGCAGCTCGGCTAGAGCCTATATAGGTATATATACATACATACATACATACATGATATTAACATATTTTCAAATATATATATATATAGATATATGTTTATGTATGTGTATATATATATACACACATAAGGTACCTACATAATACATAGTCAATGACATATAGTTGTGAAAATATCTGGAGTACCTGAGGCTGCTGACCCGCACCGTAAAGCCCAAAGCCCCCCCTGAGAGGTCTACCAGAGCTACTGCGCCACCGTGTCCTTGGCTGACTTCCTGGTGATCGCCGCCGAGGCGGTGATGATGTCAACACGCGCGCGGCATCTCGCCCAGGCCAGTTGAGCACCCTAAGCCCTAAACCCTTAACTCTAAACTCTAAACTCTAAACTCTAAACCATATAACCCTAAACCCCTAAACCCTAAACCCCTAAACCCTAAACCCTAAACCCTAAACCCCTAAACCCAAACCCCTAGACCCTAAATCCTAAACCCTAAACCCCCAAGTTGTCATAGGGCCTGTCGAGAGGCTTAAAGGATAAGAGAGGGTAGTTTTGGACCCTCCCCATGCTGGTAAAGAGGCATATGTTCTGTGATGGGCGGTAATATCGGGGCCGGGTAATATAGGGGCCTTAATAATTGCTTTTTGGCGGGGTTCCTCACTGAAATTATAGTAGGTTACACCCCAAAACCCTGTTCTAATTAACAAGGCCCCTACATTATCAGATCTAGCAGGTCAGGTATTTTAGGGCTGCAAAAGGAAGATTTGTCTAAACCCTAAACCCTGAACCCTAAACCCCCTCAAGCCGAACCCCAAAAGATCCGCAAACCCTAAACCTCCCGCCCCCTCAAAGATCCCTAAGCCCTAAGCCCCAGGGTTCTTGGGAGGAAGGATCCTCCCTAAACCCTAAACCCCTAAACCCACCCTCAAAGATCCGTAAACCCTAAGCTCCAGGGCTCTTTGGAGGAAGGATCCTGCTTCATCTGCCTTCGGCGGACGTTGTGTTCGACCTTGGACCTTGAAGCAGGAAAGGGTTTAATGTTGAGAGTTTGGGGTTTAGGGTTTCGGGTTTTGGGGTTTAGGGTTTGGGGTTTCGGGTTTAGGGTTTCGGGTTTAGGGGTTTGGGGTTTGGGTCACCCTGAACCCTAAACCCTGGTCAGAAGGATGTTGGGCTTAGAGTTTAGGAAATGTAGTTCCTTTTTGGGTCTGTTATGGTTTTTTGGTAAGGAACTATAGTATAATCTCCGAAAAGGAACTACATAGGAGCCCTTGGGTTTAGGGTTTAGGGTTCGGTCCTTTTGGGTCGAGTTCTGGCTGCAGGCCCCCTGCTTGTCATACCCCCCTAAACCCTAAACCCTACACCCTAAACCCTAAACCCTAAACCCTAAACACCTAAAGCCTAAACCCTAAACCCCTAAAGCCTAAACCCTAAACCCTAAATCCTAAACCCTAAACCCTAAATCCTAGCCACCCCCTAAGGCCGCCGATCGCAGAGCCTTCAGCCCCTTCAACTGCCAA